TAGGGAAAAGCTATGATTGGTTAATCAAAATCAGAAACTCAAGTATGAGACAGATACCAGTGCTCGTGACATTGTTTACCTGTGCTTTCCAGCTCACAACAGCAAAATATGCAAGGTTAATAACAGAAGTCCTTCTCCTCAGGGCTGCTCTCAATCTCTTCATCCCCTGGTCTGTACTGATACCAGGGGTTGACCTTACCTATGTGCAGGACCCTGCACTGCGCCTTGTTAACCCCCATGAGGTTCACGTGGACCCACCTCTTGAGCTTGTACAGGTCCCTCTGGATGGCATCCTGTCCCTCAGGCATGTCAGCCACACCGCTCAGCTTGGTGTCACCTGCAAACATGCACTCAATCCCACTGTCTGTGTCATTGATGAAGATATTAAACAGTACTGGTCCCAGTACGGACCCCTGAGGGACACCACTTGTCACCGATCTCCATCTGGACATTGAGCTGTTGATCCTCTGGGTGCAACCATCTAGCCAATTGAACAGTCCATCTGTCAAATCTATATCTCTCCTATTTAGAGAGAAGGATGTTGTGGGGGATGCTGGAAAAGACCTTAGAGAAGTCCAGATAGAGAATTTCCGTAGCTCTTCCCTTTTCCACTGAAGTAGTCACTCCATCATAGATGGCCACTAGGTTGGTGAGGCAGGACTTGCCCTTGGTGAAGCCATGCTGGCTGTCCCAAATCCCTTGTCCTCCATGGTCCCAAATCACCTCCTTGTCCTCCAGATGCTTTAGCAGAGCTTGTAGGAGGATCTATTCCATGATCTTCTCAGACATAGAGGTGAGGCTGACAGGGTCTTCCTTTCTCCCCTTTTTAAAAAGGGGTGCAGTGTTTCCCTTTTTCCAGTCACCAGGGACTTCACTTGATCGACATGACTTTTCAAATATGGAAAGCAGCTTGGCAACTACACCAGCCTATTCTCTCAGGACTCCGGAGAACCTCTCCTATGATGAAAGGCTGCAAGAATTGGGCTTGTTCAGCCTGGAGAAGAGAAGGCTTCGGGGAGACCTTATTGCAGCCTTGCCTGCAAGGAAGGGGCTGACAAGGAAGCTGGGGGGGACTTTTTACAAGGGCCTGTAGTGACAGGAAAAGGGGTAACGGGTTTAAATTGAAAGCAGGGGGG